GTTTTTTCTTATTTCAAGAATCTTACCAAATAAAATTTTCTTACTCCATTTGCAGATACAGTATTTTTGACTTAATTTGAGTCAAATTTTCAGACTAACAAGACAAATAATCTTACACATTCTGAAAACAAGATGATTATTCTTACACAATCAGTTCTTGTTTAGTAAATCAGTCTGAAAACAAGATCAAAAAGACTTTTTGGCTGATATAAGGTTTTAAGACTTGGTTTAGGTGGACAGTTTTTGCAGTGCAGGTAGTTAAAAGCTCTATGTGTAACAGGTAAGATATTCATTTCTCATGTCATTCAAATATCACTACATCTGAGTCGTCAAAGCATCCTGCTGGAGCCTCTTTGTGCCAACATTCAGCAGCTACAACTGAAAGAAAGAAAAATAATAAATGAATCATCGCTCAGCATCAGAGTTCCCTGGAATCATCAAAGAATTATTTCAAGTTATCAAAATATTCAAACTGATCTAAACTTTACATGTTCTGTTCTTTTGTTCTTATTTTATTCTATTAAAAAACAAGTTTTATTTGAGGAAATGGTGAGAGTTTTTGTTGTGTGTGTCCAGCGTATAAATCTGTGTTTGTGTGGCGCTGCCTCAGGAGGGAGGGGCCCCGGCAGCAGCTGTGCCTCAGGAGGGAGGGGGCCCCGGCAGCAGCTGTGCCTCAGGAGGGAGGGGGCCCCGGCAGCAGCTCTGCCTCAGATGCAAACAGCTCCTTGTAGAGCGGGGGGAACAGGGAGTGAGCGGTGAGCGGGTAGCGCTGGCTGAACCAGCGCAGCTTCTCCATGTGCAGGATGCAGAGCGAGCGCAACACCGCCATCCTCTGGTAGAGCTGCAGGGAGGAGCACAGAGGGTTGTGTGTCTGCTCGCGCACACAGCCAGCACCGTGGGGTGAAAGTGTTTCCTGTCTTTACCTTGTGCATCAGACTGTCCTGGTGGTCCCGCTGAAGGATGTGGGCCAGTCCAGACTCCACGGTCCTCTGCACTCGCTGAACTCTGCCTCTGTCCTCCAGACAGGGACGGTCTGCAGGGACAATCAGAGCAGGTGTAACCTCAGAGGCCAAGGCTTTGTTTGTCTGCACCGCAAAACACCTCACACACAACTGCATGGATTTAAAGGAAACTCCAGAAGTGTGTCTTTAATTCTCAGGTGGAACATCGGCTGAAACAAAAGCAAACATGTGAGCCGTCACATGGAAACGTGCACGTCGATACAGGAAGTGAAACTGGAAGGACCTGATGTTAGAAATGTTGGATCATTGTTTGTGTTTAAAACAATCATTAAACTTGGTTTATTGAACAAATATTAATTAGAATAATGGGTATTTATGTAAAGTTTATTTGTTGTTGTTTCTGCTTTGTTGTATTTTTGTAACCAGAAAATTATTAATATTTTTTCTTATTTTTTTCTTTGTAAAAAGGGGCAGATATTATAAGATTTTTTTCTTCGTTCTGCTGCCTTTCATTTTATTTTGTGATAAAGTTTTGTATTTTCTGTAATGTAAACTTTTTTGTTTTTTAGTAAAATGAATTAATGAACAAAATGAAAATGAAAAAAGATAAACCAGGACTAAGTCCAAAACTGGAGAAACAGGGTTTAGTTTTAAACGTGTGCAAAAATGCATTTTGTCAGAATATAATGAATTAATGCCTTATAAATGTAACATTTGAATGAACTGTCTGAAATATAATCCTAAAAAATGTTTTTGAAGCATTTTTTGAGCAGTAACAACAGAAAACCTGATTTTGAGGAAAAACACCTTAAAATTCTGAATTTTTCCCTGTGAGCTGCAATGTTTTGGTTTCTTTCTAACTGGGAAATGTGGGATTATGAGTTAGCTTCTGCATTAACTATTAGTCAACTCTGTCATGAACCACTGGACTCTCAGGAAGTAACGATTAAATGTGCGTCTGCAATAAATTAAACCTTTAAATCAACCCAGTTCAATAATTCTACTACAGATAATTGACATTAATCAACACAGAATGATTTCAACTCAGTAAATTTGACAGATATGAAGTTAAAACTTGGTATGATAGAAGCTTAAAGTGATTTCTGACACTGAGTCTAATGGTTGGTGCTACAGCTTTGTATAAAACTTTGGCATCAATATTAGAGGATTACAAGGCCTGCCTTTAATTATTTTATAGCAGCAGCTGTTTCTGCTGCCAGGATGTGGCAACACAAACAGTTTAATCTCATGGGATTCTTGTCTTAATTTAAAAAAATCACCTAATTTGTTTTATTTTTGGTCTCAGGAGGAAGAATGAAGGGTTAAACCTGTTGGTTGGTTGGGCCCAGTTTACCCTCAACACTGTGGCTTTCTGTCGAACGTACAAATAAAAACCCGTGGTAGCCTCAGTCGTAAACTGAAAGTGGTCACATTTGTGACTCTGGGTGGGCCGGTGCTTCAGCTCAGCAGTTGACCCGTGAGCAGCTGTAATCCAGTGCTTTCCAATCCAAAAAACAAAACGTTGGTTACGTATTGTAACCCCAGATTCTATGAGTGTAAGCGCAGCCCTCTAAGGCTATCGCAGATGGGTACCCCCGTGCGCGTACGCGCATTCTGAAGAGCCAATAGTCCACACCCACGTGACGTGGGCA